CAGAGTCAGACAACACCCTTCTCTGGAAGGAGGATGAACGCAAGCACATTGAGGTCATTTTTTTTTTGTAGGAGGAATTAGCTGCTACATCACTTGGTTATTTTATTGTTTCTGTTTCACTCAGTAATTAATTAATTTTGGAGCCTTGGCCTGTGCCAAAGCTCAGGTCCTGCTTTGCTTCTTTCTTGTGATGGTCTGACACTTCTTTGACTTCATGGCCAAAGCCCCCTCCCCAAATCTTTCACTCACCATATCTCACTTCTGCTGACATTACCAGTGTTTGACCATGAAAACCTAGTCATCTTGTGGGCATTCCCTACCACGTCTTTTTTCAGTTCTGCCTGGGTTTGAAATTAATGGGAATAGAGAAAATACTCATTTTCCCCCTTAGTTTAAATTGTTGACTTATTTGTGTAGGGGGAAATTCAGATAAGCTTTTTTTTTTTGCTACATGAGATGAAATGTTGTATAATCATTAAGATTTTGGCTTCTGAGCTCAGACTGCCTGGGTCTGAATTCCACTGTGGCACTTCCCAGCTGGGCGGTCTTGGGAAACTTACTCAGCCTTTCTGGGCCCTAGTTTCTTCACCTGTAAAATGGGGTTATAATAGTGTATCTTTCAAGGGTGGCTGTTATGAGCATTAAATTAGTTAATACCTATAAAGTATTTGGAAGATGCTCAGGAAACAGCAAGTGCTTAGAAGGTGTTAGCACCCTAAGTAGCCCAGAAAGGAGGCAGCATAGCTCAGCTGAGAGAGCAGGTCATGGCCTCTGGCTGCCTCTGTGGCCTTAGGCAAGTTAGTGACCTCTCTATGCTTCGGTTTCCTTGACTGTCAAATGGAGAAAATAGGTGTTCTGTGTGACTAAGATGAAATAGTATGGGATATACAAAATGCTCAATAAACACCATTTATTTTTCTTCTACTATTATTCTTATTTTAAAAATTCTTTTTTAATTCTCAGCATTGAAATAATCTTCCACCTCCTTTCCAAACATCCAATGCTTTCCTCTTCTTTTGGCAATGTGTCCCTAATGGTTTAAGAGGGAATTCCTGGTGTTGTCCTGTTTTCCTTTGATGGGCTGGTGTCTTTGATCTAGGGGGCTGCGGTGTTTGTGTTGGCTGTCAACAGGGCAACACCCAGGAATTATTTTTTTAAATGATCTAATGTAGTTTCCCAGAAATTCTCAAAAAAAGAAAAACAAGTGTTTTTTTAGGGGCAAAATAAAACCGAGGCCTCACTAGGTCCGGTGACACCTGATAACCCATTTCTGAGATGCTAGCGTGTACTCCCTGATCCTCGGCTAGAAGATGCATGGCTCTGACATCTGAGAGATGAGAATTCTTTGGTTAATTCAATACATTCCGTTTGGTCTGAGGTATATTTTATACTGTAAGTTTAAAAGAACTGCCTTGTATATCACATTTAGACCACAGTGCCTGGTTTTTCTATCCTATATATTCATTCAGGTCTGTTTCCTACTTTATTTTACAATTCTCCAAAGAGCATGACAAGGCTTCTTTTGTGAAATCTCCAAATATTTTGGAATTAGGCATTATTAACTGTTGCTTCACAGTTACAAGAAACTCCACGTTTGTCTCAGCTCCCGTATGGAAAACGTCTCCAAATATCTGTAAGTACGGAAATAAATCCTTTAGGAAAACAGCAGCTTTTTTGATCTCTTAACTGTTACCAACATATAATCAAATTTCTTGGTTCAAGGCACGTACTGATTTTGCTCCTGTCAAAATACTGGCACTAAGCGTTGTCAGGAAGAACGCTGACCTGAGGAGACTCAGGAGCACACGCACCTACGTGAGAACGGCTTTGCCGGGTTCTTCTCGGCGGGAACCGTTGCCAGTCTGCACACACAAGCTTGCGCTACAGCCACGTCCTGGAGGAAGGCCCGCATGGCCGCTCTGGCCAGCCAGAACCTCACTGTGACCTGGGCAACGTCTCGTTTGGCTCCTAGAGGTTTTTGAAGCTTTTGACAACTGTAAGAGTTCCTGAGAGCTCGGCGGGTTCCCCACACCCCATTGCCTGTGCGGTAGCGTGGCTGGGGCTGGCTTCGTTCGAGAAAGAAATACGAGGATGCTGGGTCCATTTGGATAAGAATAGAAGAGGCTGCTGGGCTTTCAGGGGGAACATGAAGCTGGGAAAGCGCTATCTAACTAAGGAGAGTTCGGGGGGGGGGGAAATATGAAAAAAGAAATACATCTGCATGTTGTCTTCCAGGGGAGTGGGGAGCAGGCTCCATGCGATGGGAAGTCCGCTTTAGCTGAACATGGCGGGGGGAGTAATCTTGAAAAGGAAGCATAGTGCTTACACAGCTGCAGCTGCCATGTTAACTAAACAATCTGATATTTGGGGAGATGGAGAGATTGTATGTGTAAAGGAAGCCACAACCCTTTGCCACCACATTCCAGGTGTACTCCCGCTGTGCCCAGCCCCACAGCCATCAAGTGGGTCGCAGTTCATGTGCATCTCCACCAGGGGGCACTGTGGTCCTCGAAAAATCAGACCATTCTGGCCAAGCTGCCGCTCGTGGAGATGTGACCAAAATGGAATTATGGGAGAGGGGCTTAACGTCAAGGTCTCAGTTCCATAGTGCTCAGTGCCCTAACTGGCTGCCCTCTCCCAGGTCCACATCTTCTCAAGGTGCACAGTGCACATTTAGGCTCTTCCCAGGACCACAGAGCCGGCCTTGTAAGCACACTCAGGAGTCAATACCCTCAGCCACCTGACCCCCATTTCTGCCCGCTGCTTGTGTGGCCAGCTGGCATTTCCAAATGGCTCCCGCGCACGCCAGCCTCCTCCTCATGCTCCGCTTCTCTCCCCAGGCCAGAGTCTTCAAAGCCGCTCCTCCACTTCCTTTGTGCTGAAACCATAAAGGGGGCAAGCTCAGTTTCTGCAGCTTCTACTGACAAACTGACCCTCCACACTGTGACAGGGAAAGGTTATTTTTTCTTAGGGCACGTCAACATCTATGTGGGAAAGGACTGGTTTCCTGGAAGAACGCTTCTAGAAAGACAACCCCCCTAGGAAATGAAACAAACTTTTTATCTAGGTGCTTCCTGTTTCCTCAGTTTAAAGTACCCTCCTCCCCTGGCCACAGCCTTGTAAAAGAACTTCAAAGGCTCCAGCCTCCCAAGTTTAGGCTTATTGCCTTCTTATTTTTAAGTCTTTATGAGTTTACTCCAGTTGGGCATTTAGTTATCTATGGAATGTTCTGTGGCTATTTAAGGAACATGATTATTAAATTCTATTCAACTGACTTCTGCTAATACTCTGGTGTGTATCCAATCTGAACATATATATTATTCCCGTGGTTTGGGGCATCAGAAAAGGACGTGTGCCTTGTTCAGATATCATTGTGGGGTGAAAGGCACACAGTGGATGGCAGTCACTTCTAAATGTAAATATTTGGCCTTATTTATTAAAACTTGCAAAAATGTATACACATTACATCTTCACTTGGAAAATTATGATAGATTATATTTCTCCATGGCCCAGCTAGCATTCTACATGTAGTTTTTCTCCTGGAGAGGCACAAACAATAATTATGTAAGAGTCTCAAGATTAAGGTGTCCTTTCTTAGATACAAGTGATGCTTTTTAAAAAAAGTTTGTTTTATAAAGCTAATAGTTCTTGGAAGGAACATGTAAAGGAGCTAGCCATCATCTAAGCCTCCTTATAAATTAGTCTGTTTGGAGATTGAAAAGATCCTAAGGAAAGGAGATACAAGAAAGGTAAGCTGTGTGAATTTGGGCAAATCTCCACCTCTCAGAGCCTCATATTCCTTGTGGAAAGTGGGAATGAAAAGCTATTTCCCAAAGTAGTTTGAAGATCAAAATCCAAAGGAGATAATAAATGATAAATGAGTAAGTGCTTCGTAAAGCTCAAAGGCACAGAACAAAGGTCAAGTACCATTAAGGTTTTGATGGAGGCAGAGGAAAGGGGGCTGCAGGAGAGAATGAAGGTGGGCGAGGGCCGCGGTGACCACCTGGAGGGTGGAGCAGCCACGGTGGAAGGTGGGAGTCAGAAGTGAGGAGGCCCAGAGACAGGCTCGCTGGCTTCACAACGTGCGCCGCCTGACTGTAAGGAGTCCAGTCAATCAGAGGTGGTGAAAGGTGGTGCTTTCTGGTGAAAACAGCATAGAATTTTTATGTCAGAAGAGTTGGCACTGCCAGTTGAAAATCCTGAAGACTTTGGGGGAAGTTTCTCAAGCTCGCCATCCATCAGTTTCTGGCCTGTAAATGGCAGATGATGGTAAGTGTTATTCTCAGTGTTCAAGGGAGTAATAGAATTGACTTTGTAAACTATAACTGGCTAGGGTCACACTATTGTAGAACAGCAATATTAATACTGATTAGCTAGTTCACTCTCTGACCATACTGGGGCCACTGTGTTCCCTACTGCCATGTACGCCCAGTACAAAAAATGTCTGTGTCACTTAAAGATGTCCTTGATGAAGCAGCAAAAGTTAAGTTTATTAAATGTCAGCTTGTGAGTACCTTGTATTTTTAATATTCTCTGTGATGAAATGGAAATACATTTAAAGCACTAAGGAAAAGCACCTGCTTAATTGTTTGAGATGTGAGTTCAACTAGCTACTTATTATTTTTTTTAATGGAACACCAGTTTTACTTAAAGACTAATTAACAATAAAATTATTGTCATTCAGACCTGGTATTTGAGTACCAGAATATTTCATATTCTTGGAAAGGAATGCAGTGAGCCTGTCATTTCAAAGCAAACAAGTGACAGTATTATTGCTATGATAAAATGAGAGCTTCCAAGAGGAATTTAGAATTTTTTTTGCCACCATGAGCTTGACAGTGCTGCAATACTTAAAATTTTTCTGATGAGATCGATAATATTAACCAATATGATTTCTCTTTGTTATTCAAGGAAAAAAATCTTTCAGTTAGAATTTTGGACTTTGCCTCAGATGTGGATTAATCCCAAGTCATGACATTTGGAGGGCACAATTTCAACTTTTCTGGGTGAAAAATAGGACAAACCCACAAGCAGGTCCCAGACACAATCCCCAGCCCAGTCTGGTGCAATTCCTCTGAGGGCGTTGATGGTATTTCTGGTGTGTTAGTTTGATGCACTAAAGACAGTAGTCGTTTGGAACTAATACCCCTCCAGGGAACACTGGTCAGACACCTGGAGTCCAGGTACCACAAGGAAGGTGAGGGCTGGATGAGGTGGACATTGGATGGAATGAGTCACTAGCACTCTTCTGATATCCTTAGCATCTTGGGATGTCCCTACAGGGCAGCACCAGCTGCTTGGGCCTCCCAGCATGTGATATTGTAATAACGCAAGTCTAGGAGGAGCTGTGATAAAAGCTGTCTGGTCTGCGTAGGACCAGGGCTGTCAGGGGTAAACTGAGAAGTCAGAGAGCTTATCCCAGTGCGACACTCACAGACTCTTCATGCTGGCCCCAGACACCCACGCCCTTTCTGGGGCAATGTCTCAGGTGCTAGAACCCGAAGAGTTGCAGCCTGGGGCCCAAAGCTTCTGCTTCCAGAGCTGGAGGGATCTGTGTCTGTCGGGGTGCTCCCAGGCACAAGGGGTTCAGTGAGAAGACCAGACATTGGCTGGGACAGCTCCATACTGGGCACAGCATGTTTACCCTGCCTGGGCTGGGCAGCTCAGACCCGCTCTGGGACAGTGGAGAAGGAAGAGGGTGGCTTTCTACTCGAGATCATTCAAATAAATCAGGTTTCTGAGTGATTGACAGCAAGCATCACTCCAGGTGTGATGTCCATGTCTTCAGAAGGTGTGACAGCAGCGTTCCTCAAAGCACTGTTCTCAGGTGCGAATATCGGAAGCCCTGGATATCCTTTAAAAATGTAGATTTGGATTTGGTGGGGGTGGGTGGGGCTCAGGAAAGAGCATCTTAAACAAGAACTCCCAATGCTTCTTATGGCCTGAAGAACCCCTCCCACCCTCCACAGATGGATACCTTACAAGTCAGGACAGGCAGAGAAGGCAAATATTTTTGGACCGCCAGCTTTTTCGTGTTCCTCAAATCATATTATACTAGTTATTGTTTACTCGGTCAAACCTTGAGAAAAAAATGTGTTTGGGGTAGTAGAGGGTTGCATAATATGTCTTATTCTCCTTTCTCTTCTCAGCCCCAGTGTAGTCCCTGAATTTCCAGTAAGCATTCCTGGCTTGGAGTCATATGAATGTCACTTGTCCCCTTCTCTCCTATCAGGTGGTAGAAACCTCATCATCAGGTATGTATTTGTTTTCTATGATGTGTAACCAATTACCACAAACTTAGCAGCTTAAAACAACACTCATGTATTACTTCGCCATTTCCGTGGGTGAGAGGTCCCAACATGGCTTAGCAGGGTCTTCCGCTCCACAGGCTGTACTCAAGGAAATCAGTTGTGTTCTCGCCTGGAGCTCAAAGATCTCTTCCAAGCGTTCATGGTTGTCTGTAGAATTCACTTCCTTGCTGCATAAACTGAGGGTCGTGGCTTTTTTCTTGCTTTGAGCTGGAGGCCACCTTCAGTCCGAGAGGTGCCGGCAGTGCCTCCACGTGACCTTCTCATAGGCAGTCCACAGCAGGACCGTTCATTATCCAGTTGAAATCTTGCTAGCTGCCTGGCCTTGAGCAAGCGACTTAACCTCTCTCAACCTCGCTTTCCTAATCTGTCAAATGGGAGATTCTGGTTGTATCTACCCCAGAAGATGGTGACATCACATAAGAAAATGCATGCAAATCATTTAGCACAGTCAGCGTCTGTGACATTCACCTGACATTCACATGACCTTAGCCACTATTCACGACCATCTCTGGTGAGGCCTCCGTGAGGTGTGAGAGCTGATGGACTTCTGTAAGACAGGGCTTTCCTTCTATCTCCTCTCTATAGTGTTTAAAAGGCCTCCAAAGCATGAGTAATTCCAGTTTTGTTTGCATCACATCTGGGGGTGGGAAGTCTGTGGGCATCTTACGAGTATTGTGCCTATGTCTTCGGTATTCATCTAACTATCTTTGTCAGCAAACACTGGCCACAATAACCCCATCAGCATAACTCTCTCGTTTCTTACTGTCTCTCCTCATTCCTTTTAAAACAAGATGAGTTTTGGGCCAGCTCGGTGGCTCAGTTGGTTAAGAGTGCAAGTTCTGAGCAACAAGGTTGCCGGTTCAATTCCCACATGGGTCAGTGAGCTGCACCAGAGCTGAGCTGCCGCTGAGCTGCCGACAGGCAGCTGGATGGCTCAGTTGGGGAGAGTGCATGCTCTTAACAACAAGGTTGCCAGTTCGAGTCCTGCATGGGATGGTGAGCTGCGACCCCTGCAACTAGATTGAAAGCGGTGACTGGACTTGGAGCTGAGCTGCACCCTCCACAACTAAGATCGAAGGACAACAACTTGACTTGGAGCTGATGGGTCCTGGAAAAACACAATGTTCTCCTTCCCCAACTCCCCAACACTGTTCCCTTCCCCAATTTCCCAATAAAATCTTTAAAAACAAAAAACAAGACAAGTTTTAGGTCCACATTAAATTCACCATGGGCTGCACAGCAAGTTCAGAAATGCAAAGTCATTTCCACGTGGACCATCTCCACTCAGCTGCTTCTCTCCATGCTTGTTGAGCTGCGATGGGAATGGCATACGTGTAGCCACAGCAGCTACACTCTCTCCCCAGGGCTCAATTCCTCTGAGGCAGAATGACTTGAGCCATCCACTCTGTCACAAGGTCCTCTCTTCCCTTTGCCCAGCTGCTCAATTCTGAGGCTAATTTGGCAGAAAACAGGCCTTACATTTAGTTAGTGAGGATCCAGTCTTAAATACTCTCTTACAGACTTTCCCTCCTTTCTTTTATGAGTTCAAGCTTACAAAGGAATAGACTAATTAAAAAGTCCCGTTTGCTCAGTTTATCATCTGGAGGTACTTGGATTTGACAATCAGATTTTGGTGGGAATCGTGTATCACTCATTCATCCAACATATATTTCTTCAGAGTCTCTCATGTCACAGACACAGTTCTGGAAATCCAGCAGTAAGCAAGGTGGACAAGGCCCCTTTTTCTGATGAAAGCGGAGGAGGGGCAGGAAACACACCAGGAAACAAACAAACAAACAAACAAACAAACAAACAAACAAACAAACCAGACACCAGCCCGGAGGCCAGGCATGCCAGGTAGAGATTCAGGTTAACAGCAACAGAAACTGACTGTGTTTTAACTAAAGGCAAAAGGATGTGCTGGGATGATTTGGGGTACTCATAGAACCAAAGAAAACGGGGAAGCTCCTAAACCAGGATAACTGTATATCTAGGGAACTAGAAGTGACTGAGACAGTGTCTTCTCGGGGTCCTCACTTGAATCAATCAGCTCCTGCTGGGTTAAGATGCCAGGGACAGGGCAGGTGCTCAGTCTAGCTTGCGTCACATGCCCACTTCGTGGCTAGGGAGGGTAGGCCATCTGGATTGACAGCTCCTCCAAGATTCTCTCCAATGGGTAGAGTGGTAAAGCCTCAAAGCAAAATTGGGGTGCTGTGGCAGAAATAAGAGAAATGGATCCTGAGCAGACAAAAAGAACAGATATCCCTGGTTTTAAAGCAGTTTACACAGGAGAAACCTAGGGGTTTTGGCTTATGCAGGTGTTCCAAAAATGGATGTGTTTTTGGTTTGTATCAATTAGGTCCATCTGGGTTTCAAGGAGGCGGCAACCCCACAGTTCCCTGCAGTGATGAGAATAAGATTGAGGGTTTAAATTTAGTCATTTTGAGAAGCATTTTGACAATTTAAAATTTATCGAGGGTAGTCAGAATGGGGAAGGACCTGGAAAGTCTGATCTATGAAGAACAGTTGAAGAAGATATGTAAATAGTCTGGAGCCCCTAAAAGAGGTGTTACTTGTCTTACTATTGTGATGTATTCTCAGTGAGCTAAGTGGTAAATTTCATGCCCTCTTTAAACATAATTTATGATATAATCTTAGTCTATCAAAGAAGACTTTAGCATAGGTATCTCAAACTCTGATAATTTGCTGTTTCTGAATTTTTGTTTATACCTCTATAAAATGAATTTAAGCCAGATCACCTTTGGGGTTTCTTCCAGTTTAAAAATCATGTTCTGCAAATCTCATTATCTTTACTAATCTGTTATGAGACAGCTATGTTGTGTTCAAAAGAAACAAAATGGAGTCACTTGTGCTGAGCCCCACCAAGACTTAGTATCTAACCTAAGTGTAGTTCCAGCCTCTTCCAGGAGTGGGAGGTTAAACCAATCAGTCCAGAATTTCCTGGTGAGCACTAGTGAGATCATCTGCCTGATAAGATCCCCTGCCCTTCCCTAATGGAAGGCGACCTTGCCTGAAATAATTCACAATTTTACCTTTCTTATACCTCCCTGTTTCTGCCCATAAAAGCCTTCCATTTTGTACAGCTCCTCAGAGCACCTTTCTGTTTATTAGGTGGGATGCTGTCTGATTCATGGATTGTTCAATTAGATCTTTAAATTTATTTGGTTGAATTTTGGTTGCTTAACATTTGTAAATAATATTATTAACATGGTATCTTTGCTAAAATCTGTTCTATAATTTTTTTCACAAGACTGTTAAATTAATCTTTCTTTAAGTAGAGATGAAATTTCTTCCATCTTAAAGATTAGAAAATGAGAAACATAGAGTTTCTTAAAGAAGGAGACAATACATTTCATTTCATCTAATTGCCTGAAGTGTATTCTTCTTGTCCCTTTTGTATTAATCATGCATCAGACACTATTAGATAACCATGTTGTGAGGATGATTGTCAAACAGGAAATTTTATATTTATCCGAATGTTATCTATGGTGTAAGGTCTATTTGGTTACTTTGTTGTGCCAAGTTTTTAAAAATAGTTAAGATAAAAACTATTCAGTGATGAAATCTAAGATTTTCCTTTCCAGAATAAGAAGCAATAATACTTTTCAATTTAATTAGGAAATCACAATTAAAGGAATCAAGGGTGTCTATTTTCCTGCTGAATATTCAAGTTCACCACAGAGGAGACCCTCATGGGAAATGTAGTTGTGGCTAATTAGCTACAGTCTGTGGACTGAAACAGGCCTGGCTCAGTTCAGGGCTAGACCTTGACTTCCTAGGGACCAGGGACCAATGATCATTCAGGACGCTAATGTTTAGGATCACATAACTTAGAACGTGCCTGTCTATTGCAATATTTCACAACACCTAATGCACTACCTTTTTTTTCTCTTGACATTCGATGTGCAACATGATAGGAACATCATATGCTTGGGCTTATTACTACAGAATTGTTGACATGTGGATCTTGAGCCGAATCCGGGGCGAAGCTTAGCTGGTCTCTGCAAACAATCTGAGTAAACTCCCAAGGTGCTGAGCCACTGAGTAGAGTCATTAGGGGCAGTGTTAGAGGCAGTAGGTCTAAGCCCCCACCCTGGGATCAGACAAAAAGCTCAGGCTGCAGACCACTTGTTCAGAACAGCATGATCATGGAAAGGACAAAAGTCAAGAGTCCTGGGTGCTGGCCTTGTAGCTCTGGCTTTGCCACTACGAGCTGTGTGACTTTAACTAAGATTGTTTACTTATCTGAACCTTAATTTATTTGTCCTTTAAAAGGAATGAGACGATCACTCTCCAAGAGTATTGTGGAAGTATTAGGTGATGGGAAAATACGTAGGTGCTGTGCAAAGCTGGCATCTTCTCTTCAAGCACATCTGCATCCAGGTAAAGGAATCTTCCTACCCCACCCGCTGATATGACTGGTGTGCCTGGCAGCCTCCACCCTGGTTCTCCCTTGGTCTTCACTTTTGTTTCACCAGTGGGCACTGCCACCGTCAGACAGTGAGTTGTCAAGATGTCTATGCTCGGGCCGGCCGAGTGGCGTGTTGGTTAGGTGCTGGCTTGGGATGCCAGAGGGCCCTGGTTCGGATCCCGCATGTGAGGGCCAGTGACGCTGCCCACTACAGGTAAGATGCTGAACAACAGCTCAACCTGGAGCTGGGCTGCCGTGAGTCACCGGCGACGGCGGGTGGGTTGCCATGGGCTACCGTGTGTGGCCAGCAGCCAGCGTGAGCAGCCAGTAGCTGCTGTGAGCAGCCGTCCTGAAGCCGGTGACTGGTATGCTTCGCCCGGGAGGAATGCAATGATGGTGCCAACTTGGGCCAGTGAGGCAGTGTCCTCCACAACTGGACTGAGGAACAAAAGGACAGCAACTTGTCTGTTCCCCTTCCCCCAATTCCTCAATAAAAATCTTAAAAAAAAAAGATGTCTATGCTCATTGCAGTGTTCCAGTGTTCACCCCTGCTAGGAGCTGGAGATACAGTCATGGACCAGCAACCCCACAGAAATCCTGCTTCCACGTACTTTCTAGTCAGGGCAGACCCACCCAAAGCAGACAAATCAATATATGATTCATGAGATGATGAGCGCTTTGAGGAAAAACACAGATTGCTTAAAGGGTCAGGCCCCATCTGGAGGGGGCTGCCATTTTAGCTGGGGAAGGCCTCCCTGGTAAGGTGACACCTGAACAGGCTTCTGAATGAAGGGAGGGCGGGGTCCCCACAGTCTCTGGGCAAAAGCAGTCTAAGGGAGCAGACAGGTGAGGGCAAAGGTTCTGAGGGAAGAGTAAGCGTGGGGTGCTCAGGAAACACCACGGAGACCGCTGGAGCGAGGAGGGAGAGGAGCCTGGGTGGTGGTGGTTTCTGTTCTGATGGTAGAAGGATCATGGGGAGTTGTTTCCCGCTTTCTTCCAGAGCCTGTGAAGTAGGCAGGAGGCAGCACAGTCTGAATTTAGGGGTACCTAGGTGGCTAGCATTGGCTGGACTGGGAGAGTAAACAGTGCTCTGGACAGGTGTGTGACCAGGGCACAACCACAGGGCCCATGCTCAGGGCGGCGCCCACTTGACTTTAAGGTGCTGAGGTAGCTACCTTGAAATTCCAGATAATTTTATCTTTGCATCTCTGGGATTTAAGTGAAGTCCGATGGGCCGGTGGAACCTGCGCCAGGGCCTTGGAACCTGGGTTCCAGGGCAACCCTGCCTCCTGCCCTCCCGTCACTGGGTTCCGGGTCACCAGCTCCTGCCCCTTCCCAGGACTGCTGCTGCCCTCACCCCAGGGTGAGGGTGAGGGGCTGAGCATGGTGGCAGGAGGGCCAGTGGGGCCTGGGCTGTGCTTTCTGCGGGCCCAGGCACAGGGTGGGTCCCTGAAGCCTGGACCCACCCTGCTAGTATCCTTGTGTCACAGGGAGCTAACATTAAGCATCAAATAAAGCGCAAAGGACAGGTCAAGGGAGACTGCAGAAGAAAGGAAAGCTTTTTTCTTGCTGTTTGAACAGGGACCCGTATTTTCATTTTGCATTGGCCCATGGTGCTCCTGGCGGCCGGGAGTGGAATGTCACGGCCCCCTGGGCCGCCACCTCCAGCGGTGTCTCCTGTGGAGCCTTATTTTAAACCAGGTGAATGCTCTCGGTGCTTTCCCGTGGACGCTGCTGCCCTCTGCTGGCCAAGCTAGGCCTTAGCGCTACTTCAAAATGTGCAGAAAATACTTACAAATCAAGAATTTCAAAACCCAACGGGAGACAAAAGTTTATTCGTCGATATTCTCCCTCTGGGCTTCTGAAGGTTGTTACAGGTTGAGTATCCATTTCCAAAGTGAATTGCCTTGTAGGCAGGTGAGTTTTGTTTTGAAAGAAGCAACCACAAAGCCTTAGGTCTAAGGTTTAAAGTACAGCAGAAACATGCCATTTCAACAACGATTGTGCCATCATGTAATAATGTATATGAAATATTTTCATAATTAAAAAATTGTTGGAATTCATGTTACCTGTGCAGGATTTAAAGAACCTAATCATTGCAATTTTAGAGGTTCTGTGTATCTGGTGATTTTTTCCTTTCATTGGGCATAGGAAGAATTACATAGGGAACATTTTTTTTTAATGATTGAAAGAAATCAAGCATTTAATATGTAGCCATTAAATCACTGCCTCTAAGATATTCTCTATTTTTGGCAGTTATGGTATCAAACCCATAGGAAAAAACACCATTAAAATTGGTGGACTTCTGTTGTCTTTACCTATCCCACTGTGTGTGTGTGTGTGTGTGTGTGTGTGTGTGTGTGTGTGATATGTAAGATAAGTTTGCTCTGTGTGTAAGGACAGGGGTGTGATTAACACCACAGAAGTCCCTGCCCAGATGCTACTGTGTGCAAAGGATGGTGGCAGGTGCTTTATCTACCTTACCTCATTAACATTTCACAGCAACTTTGCAAGAGAGGTATTATACTTCCCACAGAACTGAGCACGTATGAAGTTAAATAACTTGTGCAAGGCTGTTAATCTAGTCACTTGTGGACTCAGTGCCAGATCTGCCTGAACCCCAAGGCCGCGTGTCCTTCCCCCGTACAACTTGGCTGCCTAATGACTCTAACCCTGATTAGTTTTGTAGAGAACTGAAGTTGTAAGGACTTAACAGATTGTGTAATGCAGTGACAAGTTATAGTTTACAGATGGCAAAACTGCAGCACCGAGAAAGGAAGTGACCTGCTCTGAGCTGGGTATTAAGACGCCCACCTTACACCTAGTTTGTGCTCTTTCCAATATGTCACATTGCTAAAAGAACTTAGTTTTAGACAGTGGGGACAATCTTTTTTATTCCCACTTTCCTATCTTCTATGTGATGTTTGGGCCCTCCATTAACTACCTAGAGTGAGGGATAGAAAAGGATGACCTGGTACAAGAGTTTAAATGAATTGTATGTTGACCATGGTCTAACTTAGAAAGGAAGCTAACCAATAGGCTGGCCACTGTCACTTTAATATCACCTGGTGCAAACTTCCAGTCAGTTGATCAATGAACTAACATTTACCGAGCATCTTCTATGAGCCAAGTTAAAGGTAAGTGCTAGATAACCAGAACTAAGATACTGCCGATGTGGACTCACAGTCAAATGCAGTGAGCAAACATGGAAACAAAAGCACCTTGCAATGCAAGACCTGGAAACACGCTGTGTTGGTCTGGAGAAAGAAGAGCACCAAATTCCACCTGGGAGAAGCAGGGTGACCCCACTGAGGGACAGACGCCTGCTCCCACCAGGATGCCTTCAATATGGCAATGCTACTCACACAATGTTCTAGCCCTTGTGACAATGATGTGCAGCCTTCTATTCCAACTTGTGCAGCCAAGAGAATCATAACACAATCCAGAAACTGGAAATAGTAAATTATTTGGAAGCAATTAAATCATTTTGGATAATAAGGAACAGGGATGGGAATTACTAGAAGACTGTGGTGAATTTAAATTCTCTGGAGGAATTGGGCAGCAAATGAAAGCTTAATTTTAGCTTGGTTAAACACAAAGTAATTGGAATAGTGAAATTGGTATGCTAATTTAATTAAAAATTTAAAGCGAAAACAAACATGTTAACTTAAAGAGTGACTATTATATAACCTTAAAGAGTTTTCAATTTAAACATTTTCCCAATTTGAAATAGGATTAATTTTAGGGTTCCAAGAACTATTACACAGAGCTCAGGAAAAAAATTAAGAAGATCTAGGAATGATTAATATTCCTCTTATTCCAGATAGATTACAGAATTACATATTTTTAAAGTTTTAGAAAAATAGAAAATGGAATTTATTGTTACTAAGTCTCAGAATTGGGAAAGGCTGTTTAGGTTCAAAAGTATTATAAGATCAACTGAGGAAAAAATATACAACTGTATCTAAAAATGAGAGTTCCTTTATTCAAAATTAAGAAACACCATCAAAATACAAGACTCACTCTAGCATGGGGGGATAATTACAGCAATAAGCTAATAATTAAAATTAATTATATATTAATTATAATATATAATTAATTATATATATAATTAAAATTAATTATAATTACATATACAAATTATATGTTAACAATTAGAAAAATTGATAAGGAATTCTCTAACACCCTGATAAATAAATGGATGTGTTAGTCAACTATTATTATACTCATACTGCACAACAAATCTCCTTAAAACTCAGTGGCTTACAACAGCATTTATTTTCACACAAGTTGCTGGTTAACTCTGATTTGACTGATAGGTTGTACTGGCCTGGTGACTACATATACATATAATACATTATATATGTGTGTTTATATATGTATGTGTATATGTTATATGCATGGGTGTATATATCATATATATCATAACATATATACCTGTGAAAAAAATATGTACTATATATGTAATTATATATATCATAGAAAGAGAGAGATCCAACTAAGAAGGCTGCACCAACTTATACTCTTATCATCAATACAAGAAAAGCTATTTCACCTTTCATTTATCTTATTTAGAATGTTTGCAAATTTGACAGATATAAATAGTACTCAATTTCTTTCCTTTTTCTTTATCATATTTTAAAATATAACATTGAAAAGTACAAAAGAATACATGGAACATGTATGTATGTTATTAAACAAAATAACATATGTAAACCCATAGCCCATCCAATAACTTGCATCCATCAACAAGCAACTCCTCCGTCACATTCCCCTTCCCTCGTCCTCACTCCACTCCCAAAGTTACCTGTTTTGTTTAGGTTGGCTTATTTTTTACACATTTGCCATCACCATGTGAACCAGCCCTGCATGATCATTGGTCTTAGAGCCATGAGAGACACTCAGATTAGACCTGTATTCAAACCGCATCCTGGAGCCACGCCCAGTAACTTTGGGAGTGGAGTGAGGACGAGGGAAAGGGAACATGACAGAGAAGTTGCTCATTGATGGATGCAAGTTATTGGCTGGGTTATGGGTTTACATGTGTTATTTTGTTTAATAACATACATACATGTTCCATATATTCTTTTGTACTTTTTTCTTTTAATTATTTTTTATTATGAAATACACATTTTTTAGAATTAGTTTCAGCTGTACAACACAGTGCAATAGTTATA